TGTGTGTGTGTGTGTGAGTGCGAGTGTGTGTGGCTGTTTATCAATGTGGGTGTGTGGACTTAACATCAATAAACGGTGTGAACTAATAATGGTCATTGATCCACTCCTAAACATGCTTGGACACTGACATGCAGGCACGCACATGCTCACTGTACATGTGCCTCCCTCGATATATTCATTTCATGTTCATATTGCTGTGCTTCAGTCGTGCTTAAATTTTTCCCCAATTCGAACACTGGTCTGCAATCTTTGTGAAGCCTTGGGTTAAAGAATTGGAAGGGGTCTGTCTTCCTCCCCCCGGCACCTCAAACTCAACCGATATGGCTTTACCATATTATCTCAGAAGTGACTTACTTTTAAGATAACCCTTTTTCTGCATTTACTTTGGGTGGTTGGAGGGTGCCAGTGGTATTTCCTACTTTTTTTTCTTTCCATCTGTGGTTTCTGTTTGACTGTCTTACCTTTTCCCTGGCCTAAAAGACCGTTATTGTGTCGATGTGCTTCTGTTTACTCAAATAAACTCCTGTCAAAGGTCTATCGTCCTTATCTCTCCTCCTTCTTTTCTTTGAATATTACCTTCTAGTAATACCCCCAATCTTCGGCTCTTACATTACCTATTTGTGTTGCTAGTGTCGTAAAACTACTAAAACTAAACTTAAAAAACCCACAACAATAGTGCCCCCTGAAATCCAAATTTTACATTCCTTCGGCTCAAATTTGTTGATTGGCTTTTCTTTTATTCTAGCCGACAAATAATTCAGCTTTGTCATGATTTAATGATTTTCAAAATACCGGGCTTGAAAGTTCCCCGCTCCGATCATTGTTTGTTTGTTTTTGTTGGGTTTTTTTACGTTTGTCATTCTGGATAATGTTGTGGAGATGATTTCTTAATAGGGACTGTAAAGGACATTCTCCATATCTTAGAAGGAGACGGTCTACCGGGTTTGTATTTACCGGCGTTTGGGTTTGTTTTGTTCTTTTTTGTTTGTTTGCTTTTTGTTTTGGTGTCCCCCCCTCCCCCACCCCGCCCTTTCCCATAGGAACAACTCATTTACGTCAGTTCATTAATTGTTCAAAGCGAAACTGAAGTTTATCATCATGTTAGACTCATTGGTTTTATCATGCCCAGACTTTTGTATAGCGTTATTTCCCTATAAAACGGGTTACAAACCCCTAAAAATTCTAGATTCTACGCAGGCGGTGTGCAGGCTCTCCCGATCGCGGATTGGAGACCGCTTCGATTGCACCGTAAACACCGTAAACAAACGTGTTATCGAGCCGACGGCGCGCACACACTGCATCATCCAGCGAACACGCAGCTGCTGACCAGGGGCTCTGTGTTTGTGTGCTGGAGTAGGGGCAGGGGAGGGGCGGATAAGATTCGATCCGACTCCAAGTGAGCAATTTGGTTGATAGCGGCCAATATTCAATTGGTCCCCCAGGAGTATTGCTAGGCGGGTTTGAACTTGACGAGCGCCAGGCTGCTATAGGATTGACTACATAATATTACGTCCAGGGCCAGAGGCGAGGGTCATGCTAGTGCACCACGACCGATTGAATGGGCAGCGCTGTTTCATTAAAGCGAATGAACGATGGCGATGTGGATGTGGATATGTTTTGAAAAATAAAACAAAACAAAAACAACAACAAAAAACTAAACGATCAACGTTCAAAG